TAGGTGACACGATGCCTGCAGAATCACTAGATTCATTTGCCCAGGAAGGGATGTTTGTGGGGTTTTGCTGTAGTGGTGAAACGGAGAATGGGCTCTTGAGCTCCATGCACACCGTTGAAGGTCAGCTTGCTTACGGGGAAGTTGGGCTGTTTGTGAGCAGTGTCTACAAAAATGGATGAGATCTTGGATTAAGTGTTCAAAGTTCATTTTCTGTGATAGAGAAGAATATCACATTGCAGGCAATTTATCACATGAAAATATTTACATTGTTTTTCATTTCAAGTTTTAAGTACTGAAGTCTTTTCACTTGCAAAATTGCTAGGGGTCCCGATGGAGGTTTGATACATTTTGGCACTCTGCGAAAGCAGGAGTTGGTCATAGTGTGGATTTGTGGAGCTTGTATTTGCCAGTGCGACTTGTTTGCACAGAATAAAATATTCAGCAGGGCATAAGAGATAAAAACTAAATTTCCCTTTCTAAAAGTAATATGGGAATTAGCCTACATTACAGAGCTTGAATTACACTGATTCTCCTCCAGGGTTGGAATAAAATTTTCGAAATCACCTCTAATCTGTGAAGAATCTAAACCGTATGGAAATTGTCCTAATTCCCCTAGGTGTTTTTGACACTCTTACCCATAGGTCTGAGAGTATTTAGGTTTTTTTCTGGTGCAACAATCTCATTTCCACATGTGAGAATTTTCAGTAATAAAATAGTTACACCACTTCACTCTCTAGCGTCGAGGAACTTATATCAGTAAAGGAGTATCAGTACAAACAGATAATAATATCACTTGTAATAATCCAAGTCAGTTGTACTAGTTTTAATTACGTTGGTGCAGTTGATATTATAATTTCCCTGCGTATGAAGACTCCCTTAGCTCCTGCTCCCTGTTTAAAAATGAGTCTTGGGTTTTAAAAGTAGGACTTTTCAAATGTCATTTCTCCTTCAGGCAGAGCGTATGTGAAACATCTTCTTTGGAGCTCTACCTCCGAGAAGCAAAGGTCGCTGTGATTTTTTACTAGACCTTTCCAAGTACTGATACAGCATTTTTTTGAGCTCATCACCCGTAGCAATCGTTCAGCCCTGTGGCTCATATCCCCGTTTTGAAAAGCCATTTCCTTTCCTTGCACATGTCTTTTCCCTGTGTTTATATGAAGCAGTCAATGGGGCTTTCAGCCGTAAGGATCAGAATGAAATCAAATTACTTCCAAAGATAGGAAACCATTTCACACCTTGGAGCCTCCTTTTGCTCCAGATGTAGCGTGTTACAGCTCCTGCCAGTTAGAGCCAATTACAAACTAACTGGCCTGTCGCGACACTTAAAATCTTGGTAGAATTTGCACTTTACTTGCAAGCCAACAGTTCGTTTTCATCCTGTTTGGGTCTGGATCTGTAGCTGTGAACGGGGTGATTGCCCCGGAGTAATGATTAAAATGGGTTTTCATTCACTCTGCCATTATGAAGAGGTCTATTGCTATATGCGTTCAATTATAGATATGCTGAGGTTCTGTAAGAAATTCAGTTCCTGCTAGCATTTAAAAAGAAATCCAAAGTGAATTTAGGTTTAACACAACCAGATACACAGTGTTTACATTAATCCTGGGGTTTTTTTGAAGGGAGTGGTAACCTTTAGTTATGATTTATGGAGGCTTTTGTTACCACATCTGTTCCAAGGGTTTCCTCACACCCCTTCATTCTGGAGGAACTATTTTGATGCAGAAACAACTTTTAATTTACTTTTTATCTTTCAATGTAGAATATGTTTGTGATAACATTACCAGGCAAGCAGCCTGCAGAGAAGTGTAATTCTTGTCTCAGGATTCTGAGTGTGTTGATGGTGGTTGATGTTCGTTTGCATTTGATTACCTCAAAAAATATTAATCCAGCCTCAGTTTTAGAGTTTTTTGGATTGGGGTAGGGAAGGAGGTGAAATTTCGTCTTATTTAGTATCGTACTTGCAGACTTTTAATATACAGGTGCTGATTTTGGAATCATATTAAAAACACATATGGGAAAGAGGGTAACAATGTGTGTATGGTGATGTCCAAATGTAGAGTTGAAATCCTAGCAGGGACCTAGGGACCAGGAGGATTGAAGTTTTGCTGTAGTGAGTGCCGCCTACTTGCAGTGTGCTCCGTGCCTCACTTTGCCTGTCTATAAAATAGAGCTCATAACTCTTGCCATCATTTACATAGTGTTTTGATACCAAGTTTCTTTCCAAGTCTGAAGTAACGTTAATTGTTAGTCGTGGGACTGCTATTTCCCTTTGATTTCTCCCCACCTCCATATTGCCAGGTATGCAGCCCCTTCTTCGGGACAGAGGACAGGCTCAACCACCCTCACTGAGATTACTCCATCACCTCTGATGGTGTAGCACAGAGCCATTCATCTCTCCGCTCTGGAGTCTGAAGTCTCTGAACTTTATTAGCCCAAGGGAGTGGTAGGCCCAACCGTGCTCCGAAATGCCGATCTCCTGTTTTGATAACTGAGCTCTAAAATCAAGATAAACAAGCTGCCCTATATACCGAACATGTCCTAATTGCACGCTTCAAGCAAAGCAGCCAGTCAATGACTGTGTGTCGCCCGCTAATGAATATTTGTAGTTTTGGAAGATTTCATATGGGATGTTCCTTGTAGCTTCTGCAGTTATTAGCAGAGCGGCTTTGAAGACCCTGTTTAGGAGGAGAACCTGGCTTTATCTAGACCAAAAAACTATGTGATTTAATTTCATATGTTAGCTGGGCATAGTCACTCTTATTCAAATTGTATTAGCTAATACTTTTTTAAAACTGTTTACACTGTGTGCAAAGTTGTGTTTAAAATCCTATTAGCTAATACATTTCCTAGTCTAGACTTGGGGAGGGTTGACTCCCTAAAGAACTCATAGCAGGACTTTGTTTACTTGCAGGGGGTAGAAGAGGGAGGCAGGGAAAGAAGGGGTAATGATGTTTGAAACAATCCAAATTACTTTTGCTGTGCCAAATATTTTGCTGTCTGTCCCTCTCCTTGCTTTTATTATTGCTAAGATTTTTTTTGAGAGGTGGCTCTCAAGTGAGGGTGACTTTGCAAACCATGGGAGTATTGCCACCAACCAAGGTCTTAGGCGTTCAGCGTTGGGAGCCAAGGCTCTTTGTGGGAGCAGTGGAGGGAGGAAGACGCAGAAGAAGCATCTTGAGTCGGGGTGGCCAGTCTGGCAGGAGCCCCGGGGAGCCACACGCTAAGACTTTCATTGAACCAGAAACACATCATGAACATTCAGGAGCCAAAGGGAGAGAACTCTTTTGGTGGGAGGTGACAGTGGGTTTTCAGATGTACCTCACTAGCAGGAGAACGAGTCTGGATTTGATGTGTAGTGTGTTACCAGGATGGCCTGTTAATAGGAATTCCTTCCTTCTGCAAGTCACAGACAGCGTAAATTAGGAGTCCTGTACTTTGACTCACAGTATAGCACCTAACTGACACTTACAAAGAGCCTGAGCTCCCAGGTTAGGTACCTGAAACAATCACTAGGTCATCAAGTGGTGTGAATGTCTTCAGTGTTGCTGATGGAAAATCGTCTCTAGCGCCTCTTAGATTCTGCTGCGCTCTAAGTTTCTAAACTTCCTTGGATTTGGTTTTCTTCCCCTAGTCACTCATAGTAGGCCTCGGAAGGTAGGTGCCATGCTACAGTTGGCGGGTTAGGCAGGAATACCAAGCCCGTTGCTCCGTTTCCTTTTACCAAGTCTGTTTTTACTAGAACTTGCCATAGTTCTGATTTAGTAGTGCAAGTGGCGGATCGGGGGAGAAAAACACTATTATCTCAGCCAAGCATTAAATACTGTAGATTTCCAAGCCTTTCTCAAATGATGGCTTGGATTATTGACTTGAAATGCGGACAATGTCTCCGATTGTAGTGATACTGCCTTTCAAATGTCCTAAGAGAGTTGCAGTGAACTCTAAAGTTGAATGTAAAATTCCCATTGACGGTGGAGCTGGGCTTTCCTGGTTCTCAGGAGTTGTTGCAATTTGATTTTCATCATGGGTTTCCTACCAATATCTCCGGTTTTTTGCTTTCTTAATGTATCCTCCTCTCTGGAATGTCTAACCTTTCTTTAAATCACCTTCTTCCTACAGTCCCATCACAAATCAATTCCACTCCCACAGTTACCATTCAAATATAAATAAGGTTGTTAAATGATTTACCAAAACGTGGTAAAACAAATAGACCTATCCTGTGTTTTGCTTGAGGTTTGTTTTGTTTTGTTTTCTAAAACATCCTTTTCCTTCTCTTTATATTTCTAATCTAGAGCATGATAGTAAGGGCTTTTTCTGTCTTGTCTGTTAAATTGCATGCACATCAGTAAGACTGTGTTTCAACATTCTTTAATAAACGTCGGGTCCTCTCTGTACCCCGTTGCTGGGCAAGATTATTCTATCCTGTGTATTTACTAGAGCTACATCCTGTCTACTTCAGCTACTCGAGTAAGTAAGCAATATTTTAACTGCTGAGTATATAGTGTGCGTCATTTATTTGTCCTGACTGGATCCACTGCCGATTTCATAAACATTTGGGGAAAGAAATACCATGCTAGCAAATATTTGGAGAACCCCCTAATGTAGGATCTTAAGAGGATGCTATCGTCTCTCAGTTTGAAGATTAAAATCAGTGCTGTTCACAGCTGATTAACTTTCCTTTCTAATATTTCCCACAAATTGAGCTAATGTAATAAAACTTAACGAAACAAGGTTTAGTAAAGCCACAGAGAATATTTATATGACAGTGAGATGGAGAGTGTTTCAGGCTGTCCTGCGTTCACTTTGTAATGGCTCTGTGCTTTGTCCTGTCCAGAGGATGGATGTAGCAATGACAACAGTCCTTGTGTTGGGTCGAAACAGCCTCTTTGATGACTCAAAGGTGATGCGAATTAGCTGCACTGTATTTTCTTTATATCTAGCTGGTGATCGATCGTTGCTTTCTCTCCCATCAGCTCTAACAGTTCTCATTTTCGGTCCTACAGAGTCATCAGCAAAGTGGTGCCAGCTCCAGAGGCCAAACCTTCCACTCCCGTGAGCCGGCCCAAAACACCTCCGCCCGTGCCGTCACCCGTACCAGCCCCTGTTCACGTCACCCCTCCTTCAGCTCTAGCTCCTCCTCCTCCACAGGCCACCGTCTCGCCGGCCCTGATCCCCCCGCCCTCCCCAGCCGTCTCGGCGGCAGGAGCCTCCAAAGCTCCGGTCAGGAGCGTGGTGACCGAGACCGTCAGTACTTACGTGGTAGGTAACGCATGCTGCCGTGCTTTGTCCCGGTGCCGGTGACGTTCGTCTCTTGAATTGTTGAGCTCCTGGGTGACTCACTGTCTCAAACTAATTGTACCTGGACTTGTGATGTTGCTCTCTATTAAGCTACTCTTTATCTGGCCCTTGCTTCCATGCACATGTTTTGAGGGGTTAATAACTTAATTAAAACACTACGACTTGGACTGAATTTTTTCTGCGTTCCCAGTTCAATGTTTAAGTTTCTTCTAACAAGTCCAGTTATATCCCACTTGGTACTTTCTGCTGACTGAGCAAGAGCATTTGTTTTTGGACGTGGAGACTTTTTTATAAATGCTTTCATAAATGCTGAATTGAAACCTCAAATGTCAAACTCACGATAGATTTTGCTGTCAGTCAGGTTCAGTACAAAACCCTCGCACAACATCAAGAACTTGACTTAGCCTGCATTTGAAATGTGGAGAGTCCACTAATCTCTGTTCTGGTTTCTTCAACATACAGAAGTTGCAAATGTTTGTGCATCTCAGAAAGTCTGTAGATAGCTCATTAGTCTGCAGTTCGTTAGTCTGTTTGACATGTGCTCTGCAGTTGGCCTCTCTCTGGCAGCGTGAAGTCTTCTTCATTCCTTTAGGGAAATCTCCCATCCAACATGATGTAGGAACTACATTCTCTAAAACGGCATGGACACGCCTCTGGGCAGGAGTAGGCTTGCTGTGCTACTGAACATTTCTGCTTTAGAGGCAATGTGAGATGGCAGTCCTGACTGTTTCTGGTCATTGAAGAGCAGCAGATACCATTAACAACCGCAGCAGTGGTGTCATCCTCCCTGTCGTGGCTAAGTTCCAGCTTGGTTGGTGACACCTTGCTTATCTCTAGTGCATAGTAGTTTAAAAACCTGGCCATTTAAAACACCTGAAACTTCTTTTATTACAGAGTTTCCTGTGCTTTTATTGCAACGTGCGCATGTTTCTTCTCTTTGTTTTAATTCCTGTTTTTATAATGATTCCTAGTGGAAATCTACCGTGCCGTTTCTAATGGAAAAGGTGCTTCTCCTTGCTGGACTGGAACTGTTGTATCGTGTTACTGGGCTCTAAATAAACGGCTGCTGCATTTCACTCTCGAGCTGCTTACAGCACCAGACAGCCGCACGTAGGCTGTGCATATCTTTAGGGCACAGGATACACATCCTCACCTTCTGTACCACGGGTGTAAACGCAGCGTCACTCTTGCGTATTACAGTAGTGCCCAGAAGCTTTGAAATTCACTCTAGGAGAGAAGCGTTATCAAAATGCTCTACTACATCCAGTTCTCTTTAGTAGGCATTAAAAGCAAATAATTTAGTGATTATGTTAGTTTAAAGAAGGAAAACCTGGAGCTTTTCCTAGGTACTTCTAGAGGTAACACCCTTAGCAGCTAATGGAGAATTCAGAGGACACGTAGGCTCCAGGTTCTTTCTTTCTTTTACAACATTGTAGTTCAAACCAGGGCTTTACTGCATTGTAATCACACTATGTGCACAGGCAGAGAGACTCCTGATGGAAGACGTTTATAGGTCGAAAAGCTGACAGAGAGGCTGAGGAAGAAGAGAATAATTAATAACTATAAGCCCCCTGTATGAAGGGAATCCAGGACACAGAATGATGAAATGGCTTTCCCCAGGTCACACGGGAAAGCTCTCCTAGAGATAAGGTTGGAGCCAGTGTGACAGAGGTGCGCAGTTCCCTGCTGCAGGGGAGGACAGAAGGATGGTTTTATATTTAAAAAAAAAGAAAAATAGGTACGACATGGGATCTCCCTGTAGGATAGCATCTCAGTAAGGGTGCTGTGGTCATTAATTCTCAGCAGTTTGAACTAAAATAGCATTCAGCAATCGCATAGTGTCCCTCTTTCCACGACCCTTGGCTCTCTCCTGTGAGGACAGGCTGAGAGAGTTGGGGCTGTTCAGCCTGGAGAAGAGAAGGCTCCTGGGTGACCTTAGAGCAGCCTGTCAGTACCTGGAGGGGCCTACAGGAAGGATGGAGAGGGACTTTTCACAAGGGTGTGTAGTGATAGGACGAGGAGGAACGCCTCTAAACTAAGAGAGGGCAGATTTAGATTAGATATTAGGAAGAAATTCTTCCCCGTGAGGGTGGTGAAACACTGGCCCAGGTTGCCCAGAGAAGCTGTGGCTGCCCCCTCCCTGGCAGTGTTCAAGGCCAGGTTGGACGGGGCTCTGAGCAACCTGGTCTGGTGGAAGATGTCCCTGCTCGTGGCAGGGGGGTTGGAACCAGATGATCTTTAAGGTCCCTTCCAACCCAAACCATTCTGTGATTCTGTGATTATAGAATGAGAGGTTATGTAATATTTTTAACATTCAACAGTCCAATTTCTTGTTTAATGAACAGAAGTTTCGGTGATTATAGACCACCCTGTCCCTCTCCAGCCCCTGAAAGCCCGAGACAGGTATTCTGCAGACAGACACCCCCCCTGAAAAACTAAGTTTGGAAGAGTTCGGGTATCTGTCTTCTCACGGGGCGACATCGGGCAGCGCGGTGCCTGGACGCGGATGGGGTGCCTGCCGGGTGCCGGTGCAGCCGGACGGTGCTGCGCTGGAGCAGGGTG